ACTTTAATAATTAAGTATAATAATTTAATAGCTAATTCTTATGTAAATTAATTTTAACAAGTTACAACTAAGTCTTTTGTGTACATTTATATTATGAGAAATTTTTAAAAATGTCATTTTTCAAGTGCCACTTTGCAAAAATACCACACTTTTGACATCTTTACAAAAATACCACTTTTTCAAAAAAATTTTTCTTTATATTATTTATGTTTGAGTTAACTATGTTCTATTAGGATTTAGTTATGAGAGTTTAGGGGGGTTTAGAGATCAAATTATTTTTTAGTGTTTAGAATTTTAAAATATATGGTTTAAAAATCTATAATTAGTGGCATTTTTGTAAAGATGTCAAAAGTGTGACATTTTTGCAAATGTGCACATAGAAAATGGCATTTTTGTAATTTCCCCTTATGTTATTCTTATGTAAATTATAATATAATTTGTTATTTAAATTTATGTATAGTAAACAAATATTTTATTTTATTTATTTTTATTTTATGTAGGTAATTTTGATAATAAAATATATAAATAACAAAAGAAAACATGAAAAAATGATGTGAGAAAATTAAAGAGTGATTTTAGAACTTTTTTAGGGCTCGTAAATCCAACAAGTCTGATTGGAGAAATTTAGAGTTTACAAGTTTTTTAAAATGATTTTATAGTTTTTAAAACCAATTTATCAATCACCCTCTAATGCAATTAAAACAATTTCTATTGGACAAAGTAATTTTCGTAAGCAAGACTCTCGAAACAAAATTTTACTCCATCACAAATTGTAAATCCAGAAAAACAGAATCATTTCACCACTGAATTGATGTGAAAGATAAAAATCACACAAAGTGATAAATAGCGTGAGAAAAAAAAATCAAACATCAATTATTCTCTCCTTATTCAAAGTTCTAAAAATAAACAAAAATATGTATTCCAACACCTCTGTTGAGATGATGTAGCTGTCTCGGTAGAAGCAAAACATATTACAACTTGCCAAATCAATAGGGTTTTACATGCGTATTTGATGCAAAAAGACGACTAGTCATTTTTTTAGGAAACCATAGTGGATATTGATTTAGACATACAAGTTAATGATTTGTACTAAAGAAGATGTCTTCCATATGCTATATTTTTTTTATTAATGAACGGTC